CTTTTTTTTTTTTTTTTTTTTTTTATTTGCTAATTTAGTAAGACTCAAAGGTAGCAGCAGGTTGTTTTGGAGAGCTGGTAATTCTCCTCGGCGGCAGGCATGCTCGCAGCCGGAAAAATAACAGCCCTGGGACAAACTGGGCTGATGGGAGCTTATGTCAACTGTCAAAATGGGAAGTGACCTTCTCCTGCCCTGCAAGCGGGATAAAATCGGGCCCAAGCCGCAGGGCCCGGCTCTGTCTCGTCCTCCCGCTCCCCTCTCTGAATGCAGAAGCCATCAGGTTGCTGGAAGGGCGAAGTAAACCAGTAAGCAAACTGGTTTTGGGATAGCACCATCGGCATCTCGGTGCTGGGTTTATTTTACCCAGGTGGTGGTGTTTTCTCCTTGCTTTGCTCTTTCTTTTGTTTATTTTTTGGAGGCGTCGCTGCAGAAATATCGGCTTCCCCCCCACCCTGTGGTGGGCAGCTCCATCGCGTCTCCTGGCGGGGCTGGTTCATTGTGGATTCACGGCTTGGTTGGCATTGCGTCCGTAGGGATAAACCCCAGAGCTTGCGAAATGGGGAGAGAAGGGAATCGCCTGCTCCCACGCTAATGGGAACGCAACACGTGAGAGCAGCCTCGGCTGCCAACCGCCCGCTGTTTCCAGGGCCAGGAAAAGAGTTCCAGGAGGAAAAATAAGCGTCTCCAGGTCCTCCTCCCAAATAAATCCCTATTAATGTGTTTACGGAGGCAACAGGCTCCTTGCAAAAGTGGCTGGAAGAGGATATTTGCGGCAGTAATGCAGGTCAGGGAGGGGAAGAAGAGATTTATTCTTATTTATTTATGTTTTTTCCAGCCTTTTGCAGCCTGGGGTTGCAGCATCAGCTTGTGCACGCGCTGTCATTGCAAGGAGTTTATAGCTCGTTTTCCAGGGGTAAAGGCAAATCTGGGAGGTGGTCCCAGACCTCAGCTCCCTCTGGCTGTGCTCCAGCCCTACGTCTATATAGAATATATAGGTGTTTATGGCCCTGGAGCTGTATAGTTTGATGCAAACCTGCACAGGGCAATTGCAGCCCTGCTGCGCTGCAGCTCAAAGTGGGTTTGGCACATGGGGAATAAATAGATCCCTTTTTTGGGATCATCCGGAGCTTGTGCATCCCCTATATCCCCCTCCCACGGGAAATGAGAGTCCAGGCAAGAGAGAAATGGTCGCGCGGCTGTGTGGGGGGTGTGTGTCCCAGCTCTTTGGATCAGGGTAGTGGCATCCGTTGTGCACTGGTTGCTGTTTCCAGCAGGACCAAATTAGCAGAGTTTGGCCCCGTTCTGCAATTTGCAGCCTCTCGGGTGTCGTTTCTCCCCACTGCATCGTCCCCTCCAGCGTGGGGGTCCCTGCTCTGTCCTTCCTCTTCCTCCTGGTGACCTTTCAGGGCGTTGTGCCGGGTGTCTCTGGTTACCAGAGCGGATGAGCCATCGATCGCAAGGAGGCTGCTTGGCGCTTCCCAGCCTCCAAGATCTTCAAACTCGATGCTTGGGGCTGGCAGGGCTGGATTGGCCGTGCACGGGATAAATTTGCCATGCACAGGCTGGATTTGCTGTGCACAGGCTGGATTTGCCGTGCAAACTGGGACCTGGGAGCAGCGTTTCTGCTTCCTTGCAAGGTTTTGCAGTAGCCAGAGCTGGATCCATCACACCTGGGGTCTCCCCACATTGTCTCCTCTCCTGGGGATGGATCTGGGGGGGCTGATCTCCCCTCTTGACCCGTTTCTCCTCCTATCCTGCAGGAAAGCCTCAGGGAAGGGCCCAGGCGGAGCATCCGGACCCCCCGTGCCATGGCTTCGTCCGAGCTGCCCCCTCACCCCGCAGTAGGTACTGTCAACCCACTGGAGCTGGGGGCGTTTTTTTGGGGTGCAGACACCCAGCCTTGTGCAGAAAGGGGGGGGTGCATCACCTGGGGGCATCCAAAACATCCCCGTCAGAACCTCTTGGGGTCATGAAAACACAAAGGGCCATTGGATCTTGTGGATTTTTGGGGGTGATGCTCTCCTCCATCCCCCGCATCCCTCCCTCCCTGCTGGGGTACAGCAGCACCCTGGGGGGACCCTGGGTGACACCATTTCTGTTCACAGGTGACCATCTCGCCCTGGACACCCCCAGCCCCCTGCCCCAGGGCGAGGAAGACCTTGGCGAAGCCTTCGACTTTGAGGACAGTGAGGAAGAGGAGGAGGAGGAGGAGGAAGAAGACTCGGCGGCCGAGCCGAGCGGCGAAGCAGTCCTCCGGGCACCCCCTCGCAGGCGGCGTGCTGCCAGCTCCAGCGGCGGTGAGGAGGGCAGGCAGGGGGGCCCCGATGTCCCCGCCGTGTCCCCTTTGGGTGCCCTGGGCGGCACTGCTGCAAGCCTGGGTGCCAATGCCGTTTCTCTTTGCTTTTCCTCTCCGCAGACGGGCTGCTGCCAGAGACCCCAGAAGGGTACGTGGGGTTTTGGGGAGATTTTGGGGGGGAGGGAGTTTGAGAGTGTGTGTGTCTGTGTGTCCCCCTACATTTGACATGTTGTAGCCTGGTGCTGTGCCTCAGTTTCCCCCACTTCTCCCCATTGCTTGTGAAAGAGGCTGCAAGCAGGAGAGCCCTGGGGTTTTGGGGTGCACCCTGCAGCCCTGGGGATCTGGTGGGGCTTTGGGGACCATTGAGGGTCTGTGGTTAACTGGATGGTGGGGGCTTCCTCCAGCCCTTGGTTGAGGAAACCCACAGGGTTTGAAGGGGGTTGGTGTTCACCCCAGCTGTAGATTTGGGGGGAAAAGATGCAGATTTGGCTGCAAGGGGAGCTTGTCCCCCCTGGTGGAGTATGCACAGGGCAGAGGGAGAGGGTCAGGACCCCCACCAGGGATGGGGACCCTCTCCCCGTGCTCCCTGATGCCGATGCATCCTCCTGCCCTCCAGCAGCACGCTGCCTGAGGCTAAAAAAGCCATTTTGGGGTCTTTTGCATTGTGTCCCTAAAACCTGTCTCCCCCCAAATCCACGAAGAAGCAGACGTGTGATGGGGGGGATGCGATGCAAGCTTTATTCTGTACTTGTGAACCCCTGGAATAGGAAGGGGGGAGTAATGGGGGGGGTGAGGGGCCTTGATGCACCGAATCTGGGAGGGTTTGCACCCGATCCGGGGGGGGTTGCGCCCCAGGGTGCTCCTTGACCCCCTTTCCTGCAGGCTGCCAGTGGGGGTGAGCAATGGGGAGGCTGGTGGAGACCCCCGCGTCGGTGCCCAGACCTGGAAGAGGAAAAGCAGCCGCCGAGGTGGGTTACAATGCTGGGGGGGAAAAAAATAAAACCCTGCCAAGGCTCGAGAAGGATTTCTCCATCCGGGCTTGATCCTCGGGTGCTGACCTGAGTCCCTTGGGGGGGGTTGTTCCCCCAAAGGTGAGCGCTTTGAGTTCCCAGCGGTGGAGGATGATGTGATCTACGATGATGTCCCCTGTGAAACCCTTCATTTTTCAGCTGGGTAAACCGAGGCACGTTCTGGGAAGGAGATGCTGATCCTAGACAAGGATGTGGCAGGGGATAACCCTGGGAAAATATGTGGGGTTTGGGAGGGATGAAGGCAGATGTGTTCCCAGAGGGGTTGCAAGACCCTGAGGATTTGGGGCATCTCCTGTGGGTCCCTGGGGAGGGGAAATTGCCTTTCTGGAAGGAAAAGGAGCTGGGTTTTGCTTGCCAGGCCCGGGGACGGAGCACAGCCTGATCTACGAGGAGGTGCAGCGTGGCGAGGAGCCGCGGGCGGGTGAGGATTTGGGCTGGAGCTCCAGCGAGTTCGAGAGCTACAGCGAGGACTCGGGCGAGGACACCAAGCCGGAGGCCGAGCCGGCCAAGCAGCGGGCGTCCTTCCAGCCCAAGGTAATGCTTGAATTTATTTATTTTATTATTATTTTCCTTTTTTTTTTTTCACCCCCTGGGTTTGCTCATACAAAGGCACCAGAGCGTCAAGCCCGGCTGCTCGCGCAGATGGCGAAGCAGAGGATGCTGCAGTTCCCGGGGTCACCCGGTGCAAAGCCAGCATGGAGCTTCAGGGGTTTCATTTCTTTCTTTTTTTCCTCCTTCCCCTTTTTTCCCCCCCCTCCCCTCCCCTTTTCCTTTTGCATTTTGGCATTGCTGGAGCGTGGCTGCTGCTTTTCCCCACGCTTGCTCCCTTCCCTGCTTGACCCAAGTCGGATTTTTGGGAAGATGCTGCCTGTTCCATGCTGCTTTGGGATGATTTCTCCTCCTCTTTTTTTTTTTTTTTTTGGCTGCTTACCTGGATCTCTTCTCTGCCTTCTCTCGCCTCCTCTGCCTTCTCCTCCCACCTGGTTTGCTTTGGGCTCAGCTTTCTCCAGACCTGAATAGACTAAAGGAGAGATACGCCAGGACTAAGAGGGACATCCTGGCTTTAAGAGTTGGGGGGAGAGACATGCAGGAGCTGAAGCAGAAGTACGATTGGAAGGTACTGTCCCTCCTCCGTCCCTTGCCCCTCATCCCCCAGATTTCCCGGTGGGGGGGGGAACCCCAAACCAACCCACCCAGAGTTTATCCAGGCTGAATTCATCCCATTTTATCCCCAAGAAGAGGGGAAAAAAAAAAAAATGGAGTTAAGCACCACAAAGCTGCCTCTCGTGTCCATCTGCCTTGCAGTGACCCATCCTCCAGCTGCCCAAACCATTTGCTTTTTGGGTGTTTTTTTATTTTTTTTGAAGGGGCGTTTGGATGAAGCGAGGTTGCCCGCGGGATAGATGGATCTGAGAAGGTTTTTCGCCCCCAATACGGGGTGGAAATCAGGTGGGGAAGGAGATTCGTGGGAGGTGTAGAAGCTTAGTGCAAAGCCTTTCCCAGGCCCAAACCCTCCATGGGGGCAGTTTATGGCCAGTTTGGGCTGGGAAGGCAACGCCGATGTCAGCTTGGGCTAAAACCGCTGTGATTTGAGGTGTGAAAGGCCAATCCCCCCCCCCCCCCCCTTTGCTC